GTCCCGACCCTCACCCCGGACAGACAGTTCTCAGGGTTCCCTGCTTGCAAAGCAGTCCTGGCTTGGAGTGCCCGGAGTACCCACACTGGGCACATCACAGCACTCGGCCATCAGCCCGGCTGCACTTGCCGCAGGCTGCCATCTGGGGAGAGGGGGCAATTGGGGGGCTGCAGGAGAGCTTCCACCCCCAGAAGCCCGCAGAGCGAGCTCAGTCCTCCCCATCGGGGGCTCGTACCCCATTCCTCCCTCAGCTCCTTCCACTTACCCTTCCCTAGCCCCCCTTCCTGATGTACAAATTAAAGAAAACGTGTGGTCAAAAATAGAATTTCTCTTTATTGAACAAAACTCGGGGAGACTGGGAACGTCTGTTAGTTCGAATTAACTTTGTAGTGTAGACATACCCATAGTTCCTTTGGAATGAGAATCTGGCCCAAAGTATGGAAATGTTCTGTATTAAAAAGAGAGGGACTCAAGCTAAAAATCTCAGGCTCGGAACAAATGTGATTGTTTAAAATCCAAATCTACATCCAGATATAAAGTTTGCAAATGATTTATAATTGTATGGACCAAACCAGTGTCCTCACACCCTCAAACTTTTGATGTTCTGATTTGGATTTTGTTGCAAGGTCCCCTCTCTTGGGGTTTAAGTATAGAGAGTTTTAATCCTTAAGGCAGTCATTGGGTCTTGGTGTCTCAACGGATAAGCATTACTTCTTCACCTAGAAAATACTGTGCGCCACAGTCCAAACTGCCGGTCCAAGTGTGGACATCACCCAAAGAAACACAAGCTTCTGTGCAATGTGGGCTTGCTTAGAAATAGAGGCAGCAGTGGGTAATGATGGTGGAGATTGTCAACCCCCATGCACCCTTGCTTCCTGCTGGAGATGAGCACTTGGACACAATAGCAGAAGCAGTGGTGAAACAACAGAGCTGCTGCTGAGCATGGCTTCAGCTAGAGTTACACAGAGGAAGGAGAGAGGATCATACTTAACTTCAAGGTTAAGCATCTGGGGGGTGGGAGTAAAATAGTTTGCACAGAGGAACCTTGAGAAAGACAATGGGAGCTCTGGGGAATAGATAATTCTTGAGGCAGTGATATGTGAAATGGGGAGAAGAAAGTCATGGGACCAAGAGAACAGGAGAAGAACTCAGCAGATTGATGAGTCTTATTAAGGATCTGCTCTCACACTTTGGAGAATGTCTCTTCTCTTTCAGGCTTTGTTTTTAATCCATAACTTGACAAATTTCTATGGAATTTGGTGTGAAAGAATATTGTGGAATGTTCATAAAGGCCGTGTCCACATTACTGTCCTCAGTATCTGCAGGTGGATCCTAGGGTGATGTTGTAATAGCTAATTAAAATTAAAGCATCGAATTGTACGAATTTGAAAGTCACAGCTTTGGAAAATAAAAACTCTTTCAACCTCTGTTTTGGTATAAACCGTGTCATTCTGAATTTTAAAATAAAGATAATTTAGTTCTGAACAATTTTCTCTGAATTCACAGTACATGATAGCAAAGCAAAAAAAAATTAAATCATTTAAATATGCAAGTGGATTTAAATCATCATAAAAGCATAGAACTGGAAGGAACGTTGAGAGGTTCTCAAGTCCAGTCCCCTGCGCACGGGGCAAGACCAAGTACCATCTAGACCATCCCTGACAGCTGTATGTTTAAATTGCTCTTAAAAATCTCCTGTGATGAAGATTCCACAACCTCCATAAGTAATTTATTCTAGTGATGATTGGAAGTTTTCCTTATGTCCAACCTAAATCTACTTTGCTGCCATTTAAGATAGTTTTCCTTGTCCTATCATCAGGGGCCAAGGAGAACATTTTTTCTCCCTCCTCCTTGTAACACCCTTTTAGCTACTTGAAAACTGTTATCATGTTCCCGCTCAGTCTTCTCTTTTCTAAACTAAACAAACCCAGTTCCTTCAATCTTCCCTCATAGTCATGTGTTCTACACCTGTAATCAATTTTGTTTCACTTTCTGGACTTTCTCCAATTTGACCACCTCTTTCCCAAAATGTGATACCCAGAACTTGACAAAATATTTCACTTGAGTTCTAATCAGCATGGAGTAGAGTGGGAGAATTACTACTCATGTCTTGTTTACAAAACTTCTGCCAATACATCCCAGAATGAGGTTTGTTATTTTTCTAGCTGTGTTACGTGGCAGACTCATATTTAGCTAGTGGTCCACTATGAGCCCTAGATCTCTTTCTGTAGTAATCCTTTCTACGTCATCATTTCCCATTTTGTATATGTGCAACTGATTGTTTCTTCCTAAGTAGAGTACTTTGCATTTTTCCATATTGAATTTCATCCTGTTTATCTCAGACCATTTCTCCAGTTTGTCCAAAGAATTTTGAATTTTAATCCTGTCCTTCAAAGCATTTACAACCCTTCGCATCCACAAACATTATACGTTTTCTCTCCTTGAGGCGCTCTCCCCAGGGTTTATGAAACTTAGCTTATGAATATAAATATGCATAACTCAGAGATGCTTTAGACAAAATAGCTCATGTAACCTATCAATTTTAATGTTACGGTCTGCTGAATATGTATAGCCTATTTTGGTGTGTTTATGGTTCTTGTATGTAAAGTTAGAAATATGAAGTATGAGACTTTATAGTTTAAAATGTGCTAATGAAAGCCATTACTGGTGTGCCTCTCATCCTCCCCTCCCCTTCGCCTCCTATTCCCCCCCCAAACCCGCAGAAGCCTTAACAACTGGGTGATCAACTGAATGTCTAATGAACA